TTAAACGCCTGCCTTCGGCTCAGGTCATGATCCTGGGGTCCTGGGATCAAGTCCCACATCGGGCTCCCTGCTCCTTGGGAGCCTGCTTCTCTCTCTCTCTTTCCCTCTCTCTCTCCCTCTGTCTCTCATGAATAAATAAATAAAATCTTTAAAAAAAGAAGAAATTTAAAAAAAAAAGAAGAGAATGAGCAGTAAGGCAGAGAAGAGAAGGAACTTGGACAATTCTTTTGAAGAGTGTTTGAGGAAATGGCAGGAAATGAGAAGTCACTAGAGGGATTTTTTTTTTAATGGGAGAGATTACAGCATGTTTTTATGAGGATGAAAGCAATCAAGTAGGGAAGAAAAAAACATGATAGTGCAGTATCACTTGTCTCTTGTACAGTGGGAGAGTAAGCGAGAGGGGGTGGTATCCAGGACCCAATTGGAGAGGTTAGCCTTAACCGGGAGCATCATCAGTTCATCCATGAGCACAGACGGGAGGGAGGAGCATGTGGGGGCAGGTGTGGTGGGAGCCTGCAGATGGTCTTATCTGAAGGCTTCTATTTCCTCCGTGAAATAGGAAGCAACATCATCCGTTAAGAGGGTGGATTAGGGAGGAGATGTTGGAGATTTAACGAGACAGGAGAAAGTGTGAAATAGATTGGAAATGCAAAGGCCCACTTGATAATGGTTGGCAAGAGTTTAAAGTGACACCAGTCAACATGGTGTTGTGGGGTTTTTTTTCCTTCTCCAAATATGTAGAGCTACGTGGGCACAAACACGGAGCAGGTGGAGAGTCGGGTTTACCCGAGGTTGAGTAGCCAGGTGGGTATGCGAGAGAGAGGAAAGATGAGCCAGGGAAAAGTGGATTCATGCTGACATCACGATGGTGGCCCTAGAATCTAAGCCAGGGCAGGAGACAAGTGAAGACATGGGGAAGGTGAGGGACAGAGCAAGGGGGAGAGGGTTAATCCTTTGAGATTCCAGTGGATTCAAAGAATTATCAGAGTTAGAGACCTATAGGAGGAAATGATGGAAAGATATGAGGTGGTGTTCAAAGAGTGTGGAGGCTCTGGATGTGGTAGAGCTACTAGTAATGACAAGGCTGAGGCATGCATGGCCACGGGGTGGTGGTTGAAGTGAGGTTGAGAACAAGGTCTTTGCAGGCAATGACCTTGAGAACCTGAGATGTCAGGGTGCTGGTGGCTTGTCTACAAAAATACTAAGGCCACTGAGAATGACAACTTCAGCAGTGGTGGACAACAGTGAGGCAGGAGCCAAAACCTTCAGGGCAGGAGACAGGAGAATGGAGGAGCAGACTTGCTTCAAGGGAGGAAGGAGGAAGGAGTGATGAGGAGCAGGGGCCTCCTGGCTGCTAACCCCAGATGTAGGTAGAATTTGAGATTCAAAACGAAAATCAGCCACCACTTAATGGGAATTCTAGAAAGCAGTGTCCTGAGAGTGAGCAAGATACAAGCTTCTCAACTCCAGCAACTGACTTGGCCAAGCCATGCTGCAGGATACCTACGGCACCAGATGGCAAGGGACACCCACACGCACACACCACCCCAGACTCTCCTGATGGCAGATCTTGAGCAGCATCTTTGCTCCTTCATGTCAACGTGGCACTGGGAAGCGGGCCAAGGGCCCAGGATTGAGAAGACCCCATCACTTCATTGCCGCCGTGTGTCTGGCCCAGCCAGGGTCACTCACTTCAGCATACAGGTTGGGAAAATGAGGCTCAGAGAGTGGAGTAACTCTAAGGTCAGTGCAGAGCCAGGAACGACCCTATGTCCTCTGAGTCTTCCCAACCCATGCTCTTGCCACTAACCAGCTTCTCCTGTGTCCCAAAGATCAGATAGATCTGGAAACATTTTTTAAAATACACATTCCAAGGCCCCCATATCCAGAGGCAGGGCCCAGGTATCAGCATTTTAACAGACACCCCAGGTGATTTTCATCATGACAGGAGTTTGGAAACATGGCAGGTCACCACACTGCCTTCTCTATTGATTTATTTTGTGTAGCTGAGAAAGTTACTTCATTTCTTAGGACCTCAATTTCCCTGCCTGTGAATTGTACACTGACAATGACCCATTGTTCTGTGCTAGTTGTGCCTAAAACCTCCTTGGCACAAAGTCTTAATTGAAAAGCTGGAGACCAATTTTCTAGCTAATGGATGGAGTAAAAAATTAACACCAATACAGAACTAGGGTGTGGAGTGGGTTGTGGGGGGAACCATAAGTTTTGGGGAGATACCCATTCCATCTCCATCCCTTACCAGGCTGGAGTAAAGCCAAGTTGTTTAGCCCCTCCGAGCCTGTTTTTCCATCCACAATATGGTTATAATTCATACCTCTTGGAAGGTTTTGCAAGGTTTGAAAATATTGTATGTAAAGGCCTAGGTGTAATATATGTAAGGTTGGGGTTCATATGGTAGCTGCTGGTGCTAGAAGTAATAGTAATGGGAGTCACCATTGAGATTTTTAAATGAAGCATTCACCATTCCCTATACCAGACGGGGAGATCTGGCCCCAGAGTGAGTGCTCTTCACAAGGCCCACTATTAGTGGGTTTGAGAGTGCCAAGCCAGGAGCTGATGTTGGGAAACCCCAGAGAAACTCTTCTGATCGATACCCTAACATTTGCTTTGTCCTCGAGTCTCACGCCCATGTTGACAGAGTGGCCATTAGAGGCCGATGCTGAGCCGTGGCCAAGTAATGGGCTGGAAGGAGGCGGCAGCATGCTGGATTTGGCACTTGAGGAGATAGTGTTTTAATCAATTGCAGGTTGTCATTAATGTCTGAGTGAAGGCTGGGTTGAGGTCAGGAGCACTATCACACGTGGGCCCACCCTCGGAAACAGCGTGGGGTTCCCAGCTCAATAAGGAAGTGCCTCTCAGGGTCTCAGAAGCTTCTCGTTGCCTCAACAGCAGTTGTAGCTCGCAGCAGGGATTTTACTGTAGGATTCCTGCCCTGTGGTTGGGAACTGCGAATACTCTTTTCTCTAAGTGGGGGGAATGCCACACAAAATCAATTCATTAAGCTGATCAATCATTATTGAACTTGAGTCAAACTTCTGCCCCTGATATTCTAACTTATAGCTAGTTCTCCTCCCCTTGGAGAGCAACCAAGAAGCAAACAAAAAGAAAGGCTGATCGGCTTTCAGTCCTGCCTGCCTCTTGGTGGCTAGGATTCCCTGAGGTCAGTTACTTTGTGTCTGGATAGAGCAGAGTAACAAGGGAAGGTTATATTCATTACATTTTGTCCACGTGCAGGAATGCTGTGAGGTGGTTAAAAACAGTGCTGGGTTTCCTACCATAAACTTGGAAATAACAGGCCACAGAACATTACATGAAAAAGGCAAGATACAAGCTGTATATACAGCGGTGGTCCATGTTTGTAAGGAAAGACGATGTGCACATGCGCACACTCAAGTAGGGAAGGGTACACACACAAAGACTGATACCATCCCTACATTAGGGCTCTCAACTGTGGCTGCATAGCAATGAGGCAAACTTGTGTTTCCAGCGGGGAATGATGGGTATTTTTAATTTCCTTCTTTATGACTATCTGTACTCTCCAAGTTTTCTTCATTAAATATATGTGGCTCATGTAATTTTAAAAGTGTAAAAAATGAAAGAGGGTCAGCCACAAGCAGGCATTACAGCATTCTTTGTCATGGTTAAAAAATAGCAATATCTAAAAATCTAATAGTAGGGGGGAAGTTAAATCAAATATGGTGCATTCATACAGTGGAATATTAACCGGGACTAAGATTTCATTTGGAAGAACCTCTGACACCCATGGTGAAGCCCGTGCTGCAGACAGCCTCTCTCGATGCCACTCCAGTTCTTTCCCTCCCATGCAAGGCTGAATGGTTAGGGACTGTGCTCTCCACGTTTGGGTTCTGGCAGGTGACCTGGCTTCCGACGAGCAGGTACCTCTGCTGCTGCTTCCCTCCCAGGGCTCGGGCAGGATGCTCTGGAAGCCCAGGCTGGCCCCTGCTGCTCCGTCCCATGCAAGGATTCTGTAAGCCTCTAAGCTTCAGAAATAAGCCCCTTTCCTGTTTAAAATCGCAATCCACGTAGCGCAAAGATTTATTTTTCTTTCTAAAACACAAGGTACCAAACTCTATCTATAACATTATCAGAGTATTATTGATAAAGAAGAGGGGCACCTGGGCGGCTCAGTCGGTTGAGCCTTCGGCTCAGGTTGTGATCTCAGGGTCCTGGGATCGAGTCCCCGGGTCGGGCTCCCTGCATAGCAGGGAGTCTGCTTCTCCCTGTCCCTCTGATGCTCCTTCTGCTTGTACTTGCTCTCTCTCTTTCTCTCTCAAATAAATAATAAAATCTTTTTAAAAAGAAAAAAAACCCTCTTCAGGAAGAAAAACCCAAAGGGAATGCAACCAAAGCATGATAGCAATTACTTTTGGGAGCTAAGATCATGGGAGGACTTTTTTTTTTCTTCCTTTTTAACATTTCTGTATTTTTCAGTTTCTCTAATGCAAGTACGTGCTATGGGCAATTTTTTAAAACTTAACTTTTTATTAAAAACAAAAAAAAGAGCAACTGTCACGTGACTCTCTCCATAGAAGTACAAGGAAGATTTTGTGGTCTTACTTCCATCTGCATGTCCCGGCAGGGACACAGCCTGGGACTGGTGGCCCTGCTTGCCTTTGACCCCTCTTTTCTTCCACTGTATCTTTTCTTCCCTTCCCTGCTTGATATTGACAATCATGGACACATCTTATTTTCCAGATAGTTTCCTTCCTTCAGATCCTCCATGGTTATGCTAGTAACGATCATAGCATAATAAGACAAGCGGAGACCCGGGGTCCAGGTTGGTAAGTAGCTGGTTTATTCTGCATTCTGCATCCACGTATGAAGCAAACTTTTGTCCTTTTCCATCTGGAGCTGTCAAGCCGTGAGATAATCAACAGGGTCGAGTGAAGGCAGCAAACAGGAAAGCATCTTCATGTGGAAGGTGCCACTGGAGAGTGTTGTGAGGGCTGCCCCTGCAGCTAGAGCTTGCATCCATCCAACCACCGCACCAGATTGTCCACGAACCGGCAGTTCAGGGACCAGGAGGGCCTGCAGAGAGGAAAGCAGGGAGAGTGAACAAGAAGGGGCTCCCCAGTGTCTGAGCTCAGGATGGGCAGGGTTCCATAACCTCTCCCCCGACCTCCGCCGTCCCGGCCCATTTATACCCCAGCCTGGCCCTTGAGGCATTTGAACTCACCACCCCGATGGCTGCAGGCATGTTTCTGAAGGATTTGGTGCATCTCGAGTATGACCCTCTTGCTAACTCCGGCACATCCTAGCATGAATTCTGGTGCCCCCCAAATTCTCCTGTTCCCCACCACTCCCCACTTCTTTCCATAAATCCCACACCATGAACTGGGAGGCTGTCCCCCAGCCCAGCAAGAGAAGTACTCTTAACTTCTCTGAAGTGAGCGTCAGAGAAGTCCTGTGACTTGCTCAGGCTCAGATGGTGAGTCCTTGGCAGACCCTTGTCTGAAATAGGAATCCTTGACCTTGAACGAGGGCCTCTATCACCTTCCCATGCACATGCTCCACCCCTAGCTCTTCAACCCTGCCTAGGCCAGCTAGACTGAGTTTCTCCAACCTTTTCTTCTCGTGCCCCTAAAATTGATCCCTCTATTCCCAGCCCCCGTGCCAGTACCCAGAACCCTGGTCCTCCTCTCCCAACCTGGAAGCTGTGGGGTTTACCAGCTCAGCTACAGACCATTAGAAATCCTGTTTAGATAGGCCATCGCTCAGCCAGGCAGGCTTCCATGAGTCTTCCAGGGTAAGGGGTCTCACAGTTAAAGGGGCTGTGACCCCCTGGCCCCTCACAGCTATAAAGCAGCAGGGAAAACACACATATACATATTTTCAGAAATTGCAGGGCTCTCCACAGCCTGGAGCAGGCACTGCAGAAGGGAATCCTGTGGGCATGCAGGCTCTTGGTCTTTTCCCTTCCTGTCTGCCTCAACTCTGCAGAGCTGTTTGATCTGAGCTTTGAAAAGACGGGGGTGCTTATTAGTTTAATAAGAGTTCACTTTGCTGGGAGTCCTGAGCAAGTGAAAAGGCTTTAATCAGTCTGGTCCAGCATATCTCTACTTAGTGCTGTACAATAAAGATGATTTTAGCTCGTTAGTGCTCACCCTAGAGAGCCAGCCATGCTTCCAATTAATTGAAGAGTAGAGACTGTATGAAAGATATTTTAAACCCTGGGAAGATACATTAGTAAGGGGACTCCCACTTTAAAATGAATCTACTAAATGAGTGAGGAAAATGGATTAATGAATAAGTGGTATAAGAACACTGATTAACCATTTGAAAAATATAAAGCTGGATCCCTGCCTCACTTTTTATACTAAAATAAACTCCAAGAAGGCCAACAATTTAAGTATAAAAACATAAAACTGTGAAAATTCTATTTTCTAATTTATTAATAAAAACTTAATATAGGGCTTATTTTGTGCCGAGCACTGTTCTAATATGGAAGAAAACATGGCTTCATTTCTTTACAAACTTGGAATGTAGTTTCATATAAATTCAGGAGCCATGAAACAAAATATCGAGGGATCTGATTCTGTGAAAATGTAAAACTCCTACATGATGAAAATACTATAAACAAAGCCAAAATACAAATAGCAAACCTGAAAAAAAGTAGTTCGCAAAGATATCACGGACAAAGGTCTAATAACCCTAATTTATAAAGGACACATCTAAAATCAATAAAAACAAAAGAAAACATTGTCATCTCAATAGAAAATGGGCTAAGAATATAAATAATCAGTTCGGAGAAAAACGGCCAACAAACACATGAAAAGATGCTCAACTTCTTTGTAGTTTAAAAATGCAAAGCAGGGATGCCTGGGTGGCTCAGTCGTTAAGCGTCTGCCTTCGGCTCAGGTCATGATCTCGGGGTCCTGGGATCGAGCCCTGTGTCAGGCTCCATGCTCAGTGGGGAGCCTGCTTCTCTTTCTCCCTCTGCCTCTCCCCCCACAATCATGCACTTTCACTCTCTCTCTCTCAAACAACTAAATGAAATGTTAAAAAAAAAATACAAAGCAAAATAGAATGACATCATTTTATAAGTCTCAATTTCCAAAAACTGCACAAATTTGATTGCTCTATATAAACAGTCTAGAACACAGGCCCAGTCATGCAATGTATCTGGAGGTGCCCCCTCTCTGAATGCCAGTTTAGCAATTTCTCTACTAACATTTAAATGCACCCAATAGTCCAGCAAATGGAAACAATCTAAATGTTCATCAGTAGGGGACTGGCAGATAATTACCTGCAGCATCCAGAGGGCAGAGACCTCTAGGTATGATATGCCAAGATTTGCAAGCTCTATTAATGAGTGAAAAAAGTTAGGTGCAGGTCAGTGTGTATGTTGGGATTTCATGTGTATTTTATTTTATTTTAAAGATTTTATTTATTTATTTGAGAGAGAGAGAGCGCACAAGCAGGGGGTGGGGCAGAGGGAGAGGGACAAGCAGACTCCCCGCTGAGCAGAGAGCCTGACCTGGGGCTTGATCCCAGGACCCTGAGACCATGACCTGAGCCAAGGGCAGACACTTAACCAAATGAGCCAACCAGGCACCCCTCACATGTATTTTAAAATATTTTTCTCATTCTCAATATACATATTCTTCTCTGATTTACAAGACATACTAATAGTGGTGACCTTCAGGAGGCTGCTGACAAGAACAAGAAGTTTATTTTTTGATTTTCATTTTTAAACACATATGTATTATTTTTATTTTGAGAAATAATAAATAATAAATTTTTAAAAATTTTAATGGCTTCTAGGTAACAGCCCAAACGCAGCTTTGATCTTGCAGCAAACATTTAGGGAGTACCTATTATATGCCAGGCACAGAGCAAGATGCTGGAGAAATAGAGGCAAGAAAAACAGACAAATATCTTTGACTGAACTTAGCACCAAAAGGCACAGAAAAAGACAAAAAAGCAACAACGAAAAGCTGACCTCTGAGATTGACACACTTCTTGTTGCCAGATTCTGAATGAGCTCTCCACTGCCTACAAGACCCAGGGGTCACTCAAGACTCCCACTGGCAAAATGAATCCCCCTGCAGTTCTGCCCCTCCTGCACTCACTGACTGTTTGGAAGCCCTGCATTTGTCCCCACAGAAGAACTGTACAGGGTCCTTTGGTTGCCTTCCACACAACCAGAGCCCAGATTTCCCAGACCAACCATCCTCATCTCTTCGAGTGCCTTGTGAAAGCTGAGGCCCAGAAGAGCACAGATCTAGAATTAATTCCCACACTGTGGCCATGGATAACTTGTTGTACACCTCTCTATGCCTCTGCTTCCTCATTTTATACTCATGGCATAAGGATTTGTGAGGATTAAATGATGACGTTTATGTAAACATACAAAGCTTACATACCAAAGAAGTAAAGAAATTATAGCTATCATTAAAGGATTTCCTCTACTGTAAGATACCTTCTATTTAAAATACGTTAATGATTTGTTAACAACTTTTGTGGGAGGACACATTGATTACAGGATCAACCCTAATAGCAAAAATATTAAGATATACAATCTGAAACTGGGGAAATATGACATTGTTTCTAGATCTAACTGGTGACTACAATATCCTGCAACAACCAAGGAGTCAGTTATGAAATGTGGGATAAGAGGGGGTGGAAAAGGCAAAAGAAGGTGGAAATTGGTGGTGAGACAGTGCCTACTGGATAGCGGAGGCCCACCATGATAAACGGTATCAGTGGAGGTGGTAGAAGTGCATGCTGGGAATGAAGGGTTTTCATGTACTCCACTGGCTCAGCCTATGAGAGAGAACTAGACACACATATCAGGAAAATCTCCAAAGTGGAAATTCGGTCAGGAGACTTGCACACCAGTCTATGTCCAGATGGACATTTGAAGGGAGTCTGACCATTACCAAAGTAACAGTGAGCTGAAACAAGAAAAGGTCACATAACCTGTCTATTTGGCAAATACTAAATATGGGTAAATCTGTCCTTATTCAAGGAAAAATAAAACTAACATGGTACTTATGGGAAAATATTAGTAGAGGAAAAGGGGCATCATCATTAAATTCAGAGGAACATTCCTGGGAGAATAATATGCTACAGAATCCAGAAGTAAATTTTATAAAACTGACATTGTCAATAAGATGTAACCAGGCATAACCTCTGGAGAAAACCATGGAAGAGAAGAGAGATTAAAAAGGCAACAATTTGAATTAAAAAAAAAAAAAAGATGCATAGGCTAACACAGAATTGCAAAGATACTAAACGTGTAATAACCAAAATTCAATAGCCATTCATGATTAAAAAAACCTTTAACAAACTAGAAATGGAAAAGAACGTTCAATCTGATTAAGAGTATCTCAGAAAGTTTAAAGAAAATACAACACTTAATGATAAAATATTGAACTTCTTACCTGTGAGATTGGGAATGAGAAAAGGATGCCACTATCATCACTTCTATTCAACATTTACTGGCGATCCTAGCCAATGCAATAAAGCAAGAAAAAGAAAGAAAAAGGTATTGTAGAGCCAAATGTGAAAGATTAAATAAAGCTTTTAGAAAAAAAAAGTTAAGAAGAATACCCTCATGACCTAGGAATAGGCAAGTATTTCTCTAAAATAACTAAAAATAACCATAAAGGGAAAGTAATAATAAATTAGACTGTATTAAGACTAAGAATTTCATTTTATCAAGACACCATTAAGAAGGTGAAAAAGTAACCCACAGAATGAAAGATGTTTGTAATACTTGTATCCAACAAAAAACTTTTACCCAGACTATATAAATAATTCCTGATGAATTAATAAGACAAAGATAAATACAATAGAAAAACTGACTAAAGATTTGAAAAGGCACTTCACATAAAAGGATATCTAAATGGCCAATAAACATTTGAAAAAGTGCTCAATCTCATTAGTTGCCAGGGAAATACAAAATAAAACCCAATGCAATACCACTACACAGTCACAAGAATAAACTAGAAAATACCAAGCACTGACAATAATTTGGAGCCACTGAATCCTACAACTGCTGATGGAAGTGTAAATTGAATCTCTTTAAAAAATGGTTTGGTAAAATACACCAAATCTGAAAATATGCATATCCTATGACCAGTGATTTTATTCTGTGGTATAATCAATGTGAATCCATTTATATATTCACTAAAAGAAAAGTACAGAATGTTCATGGTAGCACTAAAAAAGTCAAAACTACCCAAATGCTCACCAACAGAATAATGGATCTATAAATTGATATATCCATATAATGGAATACTATGCAGCAATGGGAACAAACAAATTAGGACTATACACAACAATAAGAACAAATATTGAGTGAAAGAAGTCAAAACAAGCCCAAACACTTGTAAGTTTTAGATGGCTTTCTGAAGTAAATATCTGCTTAAAGAAGAAATCAGAGTTGCAGTTACTTTTGGAAACAAATATGTAACTATCGGGGCACCTGGGTGGCTCAGTCGGTTAAGCGTCTGCCTTCAGCTCAGGTCATGATCCCAGGGTACTGAGATCGAGTCCCGCATTGGGCTCCCTGCTCAGCAGAGAGCCTGCTTCTCTCTCTCCCTCTGCTGCTCCCCCTACTTGTGTTCTCTCTCTCTCTCAATCTCTGTCAGATAAATAAATAAAATCTTAAAAAAAAAGAATCAAGAAGATGCCTCAATATAGTGCCAAATAAGTGACCAAGAATATGTAAATAAGATGGATAATCTAGTTGTATGTTTGTTATTTCAACTTACATGAACTTCAGTGAAATGAAAAAAATACAAATATGTAACAATCTGTTAATACATCTAACACCTAATATATAAAGTGTTCTTTCAAACGAATATGATCACCTGAATTTTAAAAATAAGCAAAGGACAAGGGCAGGGGAAAAAATCACAAAATAATATAAATATATAACAAACATAATGGGAAAATGCCCTAATGGAATATCACAAAATGCAAAAGAAGATAAAATTGTTAGATACCTTTCAAATGGCAAAGATTTATAATTATTGAGAGTGCAGTAAATAGGCATTTTATTAAACTCTTAATATAAATTAGTACAAACTTGTTAGAGAGTCATTTCACAACATGCATTAAGAACCTAAGTATTTAGATGAAAGAAATAATCAGAAATATATAGAGAGATTTACTTCAAGGATGCTCATCCTAGCCTCCTGAATAACCCTAAACAATACTTGAGAAGGAAAAAGTATATTCAACTCAAGGCAATTTGTCTGATAATTACATCCTTCCTTCTGAGACCTGGGGTTGTAGAACCCAGTGGTGTTCTACTGCTTAGTTTGGTAAGATCCCACTAGTTTGAGACTATAGATGTGAAGAGACTGAGATTAGGCCAAGATTAGGATTAAGGGTAATGGGTGAAGGTCATTAACATAGACTTCAAAAAACGTACCACTTACCATGCTCCCATACCCTCTCTTCCTTTTACAATTCTCTTGGCACATTCAATTGTTTTCTTCAAATTTGGATTCAGTAAAGCTGTGGAGAAAATAAAGTGGAACAATACACTCCACAACTTAGCAGCTAAGTCAGAGTGACATTAGGGAAGGTACAGGGTGCCCACATTAGAGAGGCTTCCACGCGATTCCAAGGATCAGTCTATCCCTAGATTTTTTTTCAGACAACCCTGGGAGATAGTAGCTTGTGGTCATCTTTTACTAAATCTATCGATTTTTTTTCTTTTAATTCTTATAATAATATTTTCATTAAAAATATGTATAGCAAATATTCTGTGCTAAGCAATATAAAAAGCAGTGGAGGTAGAATGGTGAGCCCAGTACATCTGTCCCTGTCCTCCTGGAGCCTGTAGTCTGGAAGGGGGAGATAAGATCATAGACAATTATAATACAAAGGATACCTGGAATGATGGGGACATGCTGTTCGATGTGGGAGTGGTGAGTGGGGACACCCAATTCAGACTCAAAAGGTCAGGGAAAGGTTTTGGGGCCACATGACATCTAGAAGAGTTGGTAAGGAAAAGGGGTGGAGGGATCACAGAAGGAAAAGTGTTCCAGGCAGAAGAAGCAGCATTGAAGATGGCCCAGAGGTGCCTCTGAGGGACCAACATTCCATTCTCTCCTTTGAATGTGGAAGCTGAGACCTCCCACCTGGTTTACTGCAATACCTTCCTTCTTGACTACACTTCAGTCTCTCCCTTTTCCTAATCCAGTCTGATTGCTTTTCCTTCAAACATTACTTCAGTGCCCCCTTGTTGCCTGTAAAACAGAACCCCAAATCTTTGGCTTAGTCCATCCTTTCCCCAACATGCCTTTCCATTTCTACAACCTCACCTTCCATTGCCTTCTTCTGCAACCCCACCATTAGAGGCCTACCAAGAGGCAGGAGACAAAGCTTGCACCCGCCCTTAAGGTGGGTGCTCCACTCCTGATACCCACAGCTTGGGAATTACATGCAGTTCCTCTTCTTGGACTTTGTTCATGCTCATCTCCCAACCTAGATCTGCTCATCTAAGCAGGACAGTCCTTAAAACTCTGTCACTGACCATCTAGCTCACTGCACCCTCTCCCCTCTTCTGAATAAAATGTCACTTCAATTCAGCTCTACTCAAATACATATATACAAACATACATATGTGCATACATAGATACACATGTGCATATATGCTCACATGCACACATGCACATCCTAATCCCCAGCTACATTGTGAGTTCTTTGAATGAACTTGTATTCATCACACACCAGGCAGTATACCCAACACCAGGCTCAGCACTTTATATACACTGTAGTATACTAAACACTCACAAAAGCCTTGTGAGGTAAGTACTATTATTACCTCCACTTTACAGATAAGAAAACTAAGGCTCAGATCACATAACTAGTAAGATGTCAAGCCAAGATTCTGTGTGGCCTCAAAGCCTGTGCTCTCTCTGTCCCTCACCCTGCTGGACAAGGACCGTATACAATTCCTCTGAACTGTCCCCAGGACTTAGCACAGGGCCTAGTTAGTACCTCTTGATGGCGCCGTGCTTCCTTGTGAGTCCTACTGGCTTGTGGTGACAAATTCCCAAGGAGACTGTTTTCCCCTCTATTTAGAATGTCTTTGCTTTCAGGACTTTCTAGCTTATCCTTCAGCTGACAGTGCAGTTCTCTGGGATCTTGGGTTTTGGTGGAGTCTCCAATCTACCTCCCTATCTCGCTCAGTCCCTGTCTACACAATGTCCTCAAACCTGTGCCTGATGTCCCCTGGGTCCTCATCAGCTTCAAGCTCTCTGGAGTCTTGCTTCTCATTTTAGTCTTTAGGGATTTTACTTTCTTGCCAGCTCAGCCAGGTATTATGGAGGATTTATTTTTCTTTTTTAAGTAGGCTCTGTGCCCAACATGGGCGTCAACTCACAACCCGAGTTGTGACACACGCTCTACTGACTGAACTAGCCAGCCACCCCAGATTTATTTTTTTTTTACATTTTATCTAGTGGGAGGGTTTTTTAGGATATCTAATCCACCCTATTTTCATCACAGCACTTGGTATCACCTCCATTACAGATAATTATTTGTTTCTTCTGTCAGATTCTGGCAGTCCATCAATCAATCTATCTTCTTATGATATATAAATTATGGGCCTACTGGGTTTCTCTTTTTGCCTTGGCTAACAGGAAGCTCAGGGCAACACTGAATGTTCTATCACAGTAATTAAATTATGTTCTTAATGTTTGGTCTCTGCTAGACTTTTATCACGTGGTTCCTATGGGCCCTGCACAGTGTTTTACATACATTATCCCATTTAATGCTCACAGCCACCTTAAGAGGTAGCTAATGTCATCCCCCCTTCACAGATGAGGAAGCTTTGGGAAGGGACCTACACAAGGTCATGTAGCTCACTCGTAATGGGAACAGCTGGGATTCCCACTGGGTTCCTGTGTGTTTTCTGTACCTTTCCCTCCTACTTTGCAATTTTGCTTCTCCTTGAATCTGGAAACCATCTTACTCCTCTCTGGATTCCCCAGACTGAGCATGGAGCCCAACACTGAGCGGCTTTCTCCTGGACCATGTAAGAAGGTTACAAGCTTTACTATGACCTCTCCACTCTGTCTCCTAAAGAACCAGCTCAGAAGCCACCGGTTCTGGAATGTTCCTCATTCATCCTGGGGGAGGGAGCTTTGCTTATCAGGGAGACCCTGAGAGTGCTGGGCCCTCAGACCCTCCTGACTCAGGAGTTACACTGCATGGGTTTGCCTCTCAACAACACCACCTACAATGGTGTGGCTCTGGGCATGTACTTACCCTCTCTGGGCCTCAGTTTCCCCATTCATAGAATGGGATAATAACAGTGCCCATGTCATGGGGGTCTCTGTGAAGACTAGATGAATTCAGACCAATGAAGAGCTTAGAGGAGCACCCTGTGCTTAGCAAGCACTAGAATGTCAGCTCCAGGCGGCCGACACATCGTGGGTGCTCAGTGAATGCTAGGATGAGGGAACCCTGGGTCAGTGCATCCTCTTGACCACAGGTACTTGGGACCCCTGAGAGCAGCAGGGAAAGCTCCCCTAGGAATGGCCTGCTCCTGTCTCCTCCCAGTGACCCCTTGTGCCTGTCCAAGTGGTCACTGTTCCCCTTGAAGAAGGTGTGTGGCCGAGCGCGGGTGAGCTGAGGCCCATGCAGACAGAGAGAGCCCTCTGCTCTAACCCTTCAGGCTCAGGTGGGCTCTGATGCTGACAGCCTCCCCCTTGCCTCCTCTCATCCTGCCCATCTGGATGGAGGTCTCCATGACTCTGTCCCTGGCCGCCCCCCACAGCCAGCACACTCTGGTGCGAAGCACTCAGCCTCCCTGGCCCCGCACCTGCCAGGCCCTCCGCCTCCCTGCTCCAAACATGGAAAGTCTGGCCCCCCCGAAGTCTGGCCTCTGCACTCTGCGCTGCAGCCCCCTGTGCCCCAGTGTGGGATGGAGGGGGCGGGACCTACCGGAGCAGGACATGTGGCAGCAGATCTTGCCCTTGTCGCACCAGTCATAGCTGCGGATCTGAAAGAGGCCGTAGCCAGTGTAGCCACCAGGCAAGTTCTCATAGACGGCCGTGGGGTTGAACTTGCTCTCAAAATAAGCCAGGCACACCCCTAAGAAGGAACAGGAGGTGGGTGGCTTGGAGGACGGCGGAGTCAGGAATTGCCTGGGTAGGGGCCAGAGGAGAAGGAGGGGAGGGGGGGCGCTAAGAGGGGCCTACCCACAGTTTTCAAGGGCTGTAGCCCTCAACATAATCCAGGCCTCCTTCATAGAGCTTCTTAGCCACCTTACAGTGTCCCATGATAGCAGCACCACTTGGAACCACTAGGCAGCCAATGAGGGAGAGAACCATGGATGCCTTCATCTTCTCAGGCTCCCGGCCACTCAAGGCAACAATGGCCAGGGGAGCTGGCAGAGTCACAGAGAAATCCTGCCAGGATCCCAGGGACACTGGTTTCTCTGAAGGAAAACAAGGGCACTGTGGGGTGGGGGTGTGCAATCAGTGTGTTCAGAAAAAGGGGAGTTTTGCCTGGCTTACCCGTGATTCTTCTTCCCACCCTAATCCTCAGCTTCGTGTCACTGCAAACCCAGGACACCTGAAACCCTGCCTCTCCTCCTCTTCTGGACCCCCCATTTTCTAAGGAAACTGCTCTCATGAAGGTCAACCCACCCCACACACATTCTTTCCCTCCAGCAAAACCCAGTGGCTTCTGCTTGATTTTCTTCTCACTCATTGCTCTTTCGCGTTAGATACAGAAGCTCAAATCCTCTCTTCCCTTTTATTGTGAAAGTACAACTTGTCCATTAGGTACGTGTTGGGAAACAGAGAAGGGAAAATTTCACTGTGGTCCCACTACTCAAGTACAAGCACTACTCCCATGTTGAATTCTTTCCACCATTGCCTTTTACCCTAGAATATATTCAGACCTGTGCTCTCACCCTGGCCACAATCTTATCTCCAGATTGTCTACAAATCAAACTCCGCTGAGGTTTTCTCTGGCCGTCCACACAAGGAGACAAACCCCAGTCCAGCCCAGACCTACCACGTAGTAGGGGCTCATCACTGGCAACAGCAGACAAGGCCTTAGCCTCTGGGTGCCTCTGCTTTCTCATCTGTGAAGGGGGGGCATATGGGGGGTGCTCAGAGAATTGACTCCTGAGTTTCTCCGTTTCTGTTGTCACCACCTAAACTCTGCTCATCGCCACTCCAATAAAACCACTTCATTGTCATCCCCTAATCCCTTCTCATCATCATCCCCTGACCCCCCCTCATTTCCATCCCCTAAACCCTCCTCATCATCATCCTCTAAAACCCCTCATCTCTATCCCCTAAACCCCCTTCATCACCTTTACCTAAACCCCCTTCATCACTGCAAGCTGAGTCATAGCCCAGCCTCTTGGTCTCCACTCTTCCAGGCCAACTCCTCCAGGTAGTGTTTTCAATGTCCCCAAAGCATGTATACAATGTCACTTTAGGAAAGCTGTTAGTTCCCTACTCCTGATAGCAAACCCACACTTGGCTTTCTGAGCCCTCTATAATCTGGCCTTACCCTGTCCTCCCTCCATCAGGAGGAATCAATTCAGTCAACTCTGAATTCCCATGTTGCTCCTTCTCTGTTCCTCCCCGCACCTCCCTACCCCACACTCCACTGCCCATGCTCCTTCTAATTCTTACCTTAGTATCTCCACACATGGCTCTTCCCAATCCACAGGACCCTACCATGCCTTTCTCCACCCAAACGCTGCTCCATCTTCAGGTGTCCACTCCAGGTGCCACCTCCTTGAAACCTGATGCAATCCTGCATTAACGTTCCGTCTCTGAGCCCCTACTGCACTCAGAATCACTTCCAGAACACCTACCAGGTGATTGTCCTGTTCTATGCCATGTCTTATCTCTCAGACGAGAATGTGCAATTGGAAATTATAACATGTCTTCTTCCTGGCATGCCCTACAGCCCCCAACACTACAAAAATATGTATCAATTGGACAACTAATTGCACCCTCCTGTTTGTCATCATTCACAGGTGCATGCGTGTCTGCCAGCCTACATTCACCTGCACAAGGGGCTCTTGACCTTGGCACTTAGGCTGGAAAATTCTTTGTCCTGGGGGCTTTTCTGTGCACTGGAGTTTATTTAGGAACACACCTGGCCTCTAGATGCCAGTAGCTTCGCCCCCTCAGTTGTGACAGACAAAAATGTCTCCATACATTGCCAAACATCTGCTGGCAGACACAATTGTCCCCTGTTGAGAACCAATGACCTAAATGTCTAGCTTGGGAAAATTTAGAAATAAATAAGTATATTCCTGAACTAGAAGAATTTCATTTTTAAACATTTGTCTAAACTTTTAAGTCACATGATTACTTACAGACATCACCGTTATACCAAATACATTGTCGAGGAGGGCCTAGCCTAGCATTTAAGTACTCAGACTTGGGAGTCAGATTGCCTGGGTCCAAATTCTGACTTTGTCCCATAATAGCTGGGATTTTAGGAATCCCAGGAGTGATCTAAGACAGTTACTCAGCCTCTCTGTGCCTCGGTTTCCTCATCTAAATGATGATTAAAATAATACTCACCTAATTGTGTTGATTTGAAAAGTAAATGAGTTAAATACGCAAAGTATTCAATCCCCAGCAGATACTTGTCTTTTGAGCTATGGTCACACATCCTTGCCCTTAGCTTAATAACTGAATTCCAATGCATACTGGAAGAGAAGTCCATGTTTACATTTTCCAGCAGAGCAAACGATATTTTCAGATGATATTTGTCTCCCAGACATACTCATAAGAGGCATGCTGAGTCCTCCCTCCTTCCCTCTTCCCCTGCAGCAAAATCACTGGGAGCCCTGTCCCCTGTTCTTCCAAAACCAACCCACCTCTCGCCATCTCCTCTGCCATCATTCCAGTCCAGATCACCATCATCTCTGACTTCTGTAGAGGTTCCTAGATATACTCTGATACTCCACAATCTTTTCCTGTCCCCCTAACCCTATTATCTATAAAGTAACTAGAAAATCCTCTTTAAAAACATATATCCAGTCACATCACCCATCTCCAGCAGATTCCCCTGGCACTTTAAATAAGATCCCAACTCCTCAACCTAGCTGACAAGACCCTTCCTGCTCTAGCCTCTGAGCACCTCTCTAGTTTGATTTCATGCCTCTCTCCCCCTTGTTCACATTCACACCACCACACTCACCTTGCACATTTCTTTTCCTTGAACATGCCAATCTCATTCCCATCACAGGTTCTTTGCACCTGCTCTTTCTTCTGCCTGGAACATGACTCCCCCAACCACCACAGAGCTTGCTCTTTCTGGTCATGGTCTCAGCTCAAAAATAAGCTCAGCATCTCTAATAGGACTCTCTGATCACTGCTCCAGCCCAGAAAATCATTTCTAGTTTCTTCATAAAATAAGTCAATTTCAGAAATTAACCTTGTTCGTTTATTTGTCTATCTCTCATACCAGAGTGTAAACATCAGGAATGCAGAGACCTGGTCTGTTTTGTTCTCTGCTTTATCCCCAGAACTTAGAACAGAGCCTGGTGTATAGTAGGCACTCTGTGAGTCTCTGTTGAATGAATGAATGAATGGGAAAAAGCCAACTCTTCCCAACAGAATGGTCATCTTATAAGCAAGGAATGGATTTGCTGAGTGTCTCCTGCACCTGGATATCACCGTATCTGTCCCAGTCCTGCACATCCTATACCAGCTTACCAGTTCACCAGGCCCTCTGCAGGCCTTGGGGCCTCCTCAGGGGAGGGGCAGCCACTGCAGCAGCTTTGACCTTTTGCAGGAAAGTTGCTCTACCTGCACTCAGTTCCCTGGACTCTGCAGATTCCACTTCCTCGATAACCCGCTTACCTTCACCCAAGAGCTTCTAAACCACAAGTGCTTCTCCATGACCTGCTCTTCTAGAATCTTTTCTATGACATCAGTTGCTATGCACCAGAATATTCTGAAGCAGAGAGGGGGTCTGTCACCAATGCATTGTATTAGTTTTCTATTGCTGCTGTACCAAGTTACATCAAACTTGGCACCTTAAGCTACACAAATTTATTATCTTAAAGTTCTATAGATCAGAATTCTGACACAAATCTCACCAGGCTAAAAGCAAGGTGTTGGCAGGGCCGCGCTCCTTTATGGGCACTCAAGAGGAGAACCCATTTCCCTGTTCATTCAGGTTGTTAGCAGAATAAAGTTCCTTGTAGCTATGGGGCCGAGATCCCATTTCCTTGCTAGCTGTCAGCTGAGGGCCATTCCCAGCTTCTAGGGGCTCTCTGCATTTCTTGGCTCCACCTCCCTTCCCCTATCTTCAAAACCAGAAATGATAGATCAAAACCCTCTCATGCTTTGACTCCCTCCTGCCTCTTCTTACATTGTTGTATCTCTGACTCACTCTTCTGCCTCCTCTCTCACTTATAAGGACTCATGTGACCAGATTGGCTCACCCACACAATCCAGGATAATCTCCCCATTTCAAGGTCCTTTACCTTAATTACATCTGTAAAGTCCTTCTTGCCATGTAAATAACATGTTCAGAGGCTTCAGGTGTAAGGGCATGGACATCTTTGGGGGACCATTATTCTGCCTATCACAGCATTCTTCTGGCCCCCACAGAACTGCCTTCTAGTAGAGAGCAGTGGGAGAAGCCATTATTTCCCTCCTCTACTCATGTTGGGGCCATGGTCAAGGACATCCTCTTTGGAGTCGGGGCAACCTCATTTGTGACATGGATTATCTTTAAAATCCCTTCTACTCCAAAGAGTTAAAAGATGTTGAAATGACTGAGGATAATGCTAGCCTTTCGAAACACTGAGGTCCTTCTGGCTGACTCAATTATGCCTGGTAATTAGTTGATTAAATAAAAGTGATAAAATAGAGAATCATAAAAGAAACAGGCCATAAACACTGAAACTTAAACCCATAAATGCACATTGGCTCAACAATCTTTGGTGATGGCTTTTTCTTAGATATGGGTTATAGACTGGAGCACTCCTTAAGGTTTTTGTGTAAATCATATTGTACCATATTCCCATGTCCATTTCTAGTTTTTATAACTTTAAAGCAAAGCAAGAACTTAAAGACATAAAAGCCAAGCAAGAAGTTACAGACATAAAGCAGAGCAATGTCTCCTAGATTTCCCTTCTAGAGTTTCAAGATTTTTCTAAACTTTCTTAGTTAAATTACCCACAATTAGCCCTTTAGTAAAATGCTTTTTAATAATTTGCCTTTCTCAAGGCTTTCAAAGAACTCATCTTAAAGTTTTGATTATTAACTTAGCTGGAATGACCAACCTGTCCTGGTTTGGCTGGACAAAGTCTTATACTCACATAATTGACGGATCAGTACTAATGGCA